GATTGGATCGGGAATTCATTGTCCAGATCCCTGCACAACGCATCGCCTCTCACTAGCACAATGTCCCTGGCTCTAGTTTACTTCTTCTCCATGTACATGTTCTCCTCGATCACCAGCCATGTTGTCGCCTTCACCGGCCCATTCTTTGCCGCTGGCCATGTCTTGAACTGTCCACCCAAACTGCTGGCTATTATAATCGCTCTTTTCAGCTCTATGGCTGGTGTACTGACTCCATTCTCAACGGGATCCGTTGCTATATATGCATCCCAGGGATACATCTCGAAATCCAGATGGTTCCTTCTTGGTCTGCTCTCGTCGCTTGTTATTCTAGGTGTGACATCCTCGGTTGGCCTTTTGTGGTGGAGATTCTTGGGCTGGTTCTAGATACATCACTTATTTAGTAACTTATTAATACACTTTTTGGTTTGATTCTCGAGCTGCCACATGGCATTTCAAGCTGGGCTGTCTTTTTTTCAAAGCTGCCGTCTGGTTTCTGTCTGAAATCGATGCAGAAGCGTGCACTATGCCGTGATTGAAAATGGCGAGCTCGAACATCACGTGAAAATGTAGCTCTAGAAGCAGTTTCACTTCCGGAATTCGGAAATAACAAACTCCGCGCTAGCTTTGAAACTGGCGGAGGTGTGAGTTGTGTGGCCGAGTGGTTAAGGCGGTGGTCTTAAGAACCACTCTCATATGAGATCGTGGGTTCGAACCCCACCGCAACTATCGTTTTGAAAGCCATTTTTGCTTCTCGCGGAGTTCGTTTTGGTAGTGTCGGACATGGGCTTTTATTTATTTATTTTTCTTCTTTTGGACTGTGGAGGTTTACTAGACAGCTGGTACAGAAGGCAGAAACCAGACATCCGCTACGGCGAGTTGCACTCGCTAGAGCGCAACTATGTTTGGCGCAGAGGGAGCATCGTTTTCATCACCACATCTGCGTCTGCTACCTACTGCTACTGGGTCGAGCAGTTCAAAACAGCATCTTCATTACATTCCACGCACTCATCTGAAAGCACTGGGCATCCTCCTAGTCCTATGAGTTTACATAATAGCGACTGTGAATGATCTCATATGACGACGCATATGCTGAAGGAATGGCTATTCCAGCATGCTTGGCTGGCTGTTCCACAATCCCTCTTTAATTCGGTAAGATCTATTCAAATCTAAAACAGTTCTAGCTTTTTGTCAACCAGTTGGAGCAATAAACACCATAAAGCAACAAAACAGCAAGCACAGAGCAGTAAAGATGGTCAAAATAGACATGCTATATATACCCTAAGGCACTTGCAAGCAGCTGCATCTCGTTGCGGACGGATCGGGCAAAGTGCTGGACCTTCTCCTTGGAGTCCAGAACCTCAACAGACTGGGTGTAGGGATTGTAGCGCACCT